CAGTATATACATATCAATGTGATATACCATATTAACAGATTGAAAGATAAAAACCATATGATCATCTCAACAGATGCAGAGAAAGCTTTTGATAAAATTTAACACCCATCTATCATAAAAAAAAAAGTACTCTTCAGAAAGTAGGCATGGAAGGTAAATATTCAACGTAATAAAGGCCATATATGACAAGCATGGAAGGAAAATATTCAACATAATAAATGCCATATAGGACAAACCCAGCGCAAACATTATTCTCAATAGTGAAAACCTGAAAACATTTCCTCTAAAATCAGGAACAAGACAAGGGTGCCCACTCTTGCCACTATTATTCAATGTAGTTTGGGAAGTCCTGGCTGCTTCTCAATCAGAGAAGAAAAGGAAATAAAATAAATCCAGATTAGAAAAAAAAGAAGTAAAATTCTTACTGTTTGCAGATGAAATGAGACTATACATAGAAAACCATAAGGATGCCACCAGAAAATTACTAGAGCTAATCAATGAATATAGTAATATCACAGGATATAAAATTAACACACAGAATTCCCTTGCATTCCTATACACTAAGAATGAAAAATCAGAAAGGTAAATTAAGGAAACAATCCTATTCACCATGGCAACTAAAAGAATAAAATACCTAGGAAAATCTACGTAAAGAGACAAAAGACCAGTATGCAGAAAACTATCAAACAGTGATGAAAAAAAACAAAGATGACACAAACAGCTGAAGAGCTATATCATGTTCTTGGATTGGAAGATTCAATATTGTGAAAATGACTATGCTACCCGAAGCAATCTATAAATTCAATTCAATTCCTATCAAACTACCAATGATATTTTTCACAGAACTAGGACAAATAATTTCACAATTTGTATGGAAACACAAAAGACTCTGAATAGCCAAAGTAATCCTGATACTGAAGAATGAAACTGGAGGAATCAACCTTCCTGACTTCAAACTATACAACAAAGCTACAGTCATCAGGACAGTATGGTACTGGAACAAAAACAAATAGAGACCGATGGAACAAGATAGAAAGCCCAGAGATGAATCCACCTACTTATAGGCACCTTATCTTTGACAAAGGAGGCAAGAATATACAATTGAGAAAAGACAATATCTTCAATAAATGGTGCTGGGAAAACAGGACAGCTAGATATAAAACACTGAAATTAAAATACTTCCTAACACCATACACAAAAATAAACTCAAAAGGGATTAAAGACCTATATGTAAGACTAGAAACTATAAAACTCTTAGAGGAAAACATAGGCAGAACACTCTCTGACACAAATCACAGCAAGATCCTCTATGACCCACCTCCTGGAGTAATGGAAATAAAAACAAAAATAAATAAATAGGACCTACTTAAAAGCTTTTGCACATTGAAGGAAACTATAAACAAGGTGAAAAGTCAGCCCTCAGAATGGAAGAAAACAATGGCAAATGAAACAACTGACAAAGGATTAATCTCTAAAATATAAAAACAGCTATTGCAGCTCCATACCAGAAAAACAAACAATCCAATCAAAAAGTGGGCAGAAGACCTGAAGAGATATTTTTCCAAAGAAGACATACAGATGGCTAATAAACATGTGAAAAGATGCTCAACATTGCTCATTATTAAAGAAATGCAAATCAAAATTACAATGAAGTATCACCTTTCACCGGTCGGAATGGCCATCAAAAAAATCTACAAACAGTAAATGCTAGAGAGGGTGTGGAAAAAAGGAACCCTCTTGCACTGTTGATGGAATGTGAATTGATACAGACACTATGGAGAACTGTATGCAGGTTCCCTAAAAAAACTAGGAATAAAACTACCATATGACCCAGCAATCAGGCATATACCCTGAAGGAAACCATGACTGAAAAAGACACATGTACGCTAATGTTCATTGCAGCACCATTTACAATAGCAGGACATGGAAGCAACCTTGGTGTCCATCAACAGATGAATGGATAAAGAAGCTGTGGTACATGTAATAATGGAATATTACTTAGCTATAGAAAGGAATGTATTTGAGTCAGTTCTAATGAGGTAGATGAACCTAGAGCCTATTATACAGAGTGAAGTAAGTCAGAAAGAGAAAAACAAATATGTAATAACACATATAGATGGAAACTAGAAAGATGGTACTGATGAACCTATTTGCAGGGCTGCCAAGGAGCCACAGACATAAAGAACAGACTTGTGGACACAGTAGAGAAAGGAGAGGATGAGACGAATTGAGAATAACATTGCAACATATACATTATCTTATGTAAAATAGACAGTGGTAATTTGCTATAAGATTCATGGAGCTCAAATCCATGCTTTTTGTAACAACCTAGAGGAATGGGATGGGGTAGGAGGTGGAAGGGAGGCTCAAAAGAGAGGGAACATATGTATACCTATGGCTGATTCATGTTGATCTATGGCAGAAACCAACACAATATTATAAAGTAATTATCCTTCAATTAAAAATAAATATTTTAAAAAGTCAGGTGGGAGAGCCCAGGATCAAGGGAGTCATTCTAATTCCTAAAAGTCTTCTATTATCTCTATTGCACTGGCCCATAAAAGGATGCTAGAACTGATCAAACCTAGAGATTCCTATATTAAATGAAAGCTATAGATGAGGTAAACCCAAATTCACAACTCCAAAGCTTACACATTCTCTTCTCTCAATTGACAAGTATTGGTCAATACACACTAATTTATGACTAATTGTGTCTGTTATGTTACTTTCAGAATTTACGTACTTTAAAAACTACATGATTGGAACTAAATTCTAAGGAAATAATCCAAAGTAGAGAAAATACCATATTCATAATGTTCCAACGGTCCTTGTCATTTAAAGCAGCAAAAGATTGGAAACAATTTACATGTACAATTTAAATGGTTGAGTAAAGTATAGTATATCATTTTAAAGGACTATTTTTCTGCTGTTGAAAATGGTTATAACAGATTAGGACATGAGAAAGTCAACACTAAAGAATTTTAAGTGATGACATAAAAGAAAAATTACATTTCTTACTGAGATTATAAGTATACTGAGAAAAGTTACAAAAACTTGGAGGAAATATATCAAAATTTTACCATTAGTTATATTAATATGAAGAGATAATAAGTGGGTTAAAGTTTTTTTGTTTGTCTTTTCTTTCCTTACCAAATTTTTTGAGCTGAAAATCTGAAGGGACAAGCCAATCCAAAACCATAGGGAAAAAAAAAACAAAGGTACAGGTACTAGGCTAGGGAGTGGAGTAGTCTCAATCTTACTTATATTTCCCCTCATGAAGTCAAGACTTTTTATAGCTAGGAAGTGTTTAGTTCCATAGAGTTCTTAAAACAGGCTCCCTGAATTCTTACCATTTGACCAGGACCCAACCCTGAGGTCAGCAGAAGCCTGTTTAGCTGGTTATTTCATCACAGTAAGTGTACCTCCCTGTACCCTGGGTATAGTCGGAGTGTTGCAGATACTTTGAATCTGAATGACTTGATAAGGGTGACTGGAAGTGGCATTCTTAATGTTCTAGGATTTCTGCACAAGTCACAGTAACTGATTTTCCTTTGTGGTACCTGTGGACATTTGCTTTGTTCAGCTCCTTTGTAAGCGACACTTTGTCATCCTCCAGGGCCCCTGTACCTTTCCACCTGCTGTGTGGGCACTGGTGTTGTAGCAGTGCTGAACACTACAGGGAAATAGCACTGGTGGAAGCTGTGGTTATTGTGACTCCAAGAGCTTTTCTCCTCCAGCCTCCTCCTCCTCTTTCTTTGTGTTGGCTTTCTGTTCTCTTTCTGAAAGAACATTTAGCTCTTTCACCGACTCTGTTACATAGTTCAAAAACCTGGGATTAACTCTGGTATTTTTCCTCTTCCCTCACTCTCCTATATCCAAATAGTCACCAGTTCTGCTTCTGCAGTTCTGCTTTAGCTGAGTTACTCCAGTAGCTTCCAGACAAGGCCCTCTAATTCCAATCTTGAAATCATTCTCATTATCTTTCATATTATGACCAAATCTGATCTTGTCACTCCCTTGTCTAAAATCTCACCAAGAGCACTGCAGATACAATTCAAACCAGTTAACTTAAAGTGGAAGCGTCTCACAGTCAGGCTCCTCCCCTTGTACTGAAACAATGCCAAACTTCCTTGAGGCCTTGTTTCTTTTATTTATTTATTTACGTATTTGTTGACTGCACTGGTCTTCATTGCAGCACATAGGGCTTCTCTTAGTTCTAGTGCACTATTTCGGGGCTTCTCATTGCAGTCCACTGTCATAGTCGCCCCTCGGCATGTGGCTTTTTAGTTCCCCAGCCAGCGATCAAACCCAAATCCCCTGCATTAGAAGGCAGACTCTTAACCACTGGACACCAGGTAAGTCCTGAGCCCTTAGTTTCATCATCTGTAAAATGGGGATATAATTACCACATACGTCGTATGGTTGTTGTAAGGCCCCTCAAAACTGTTTCATGTCTCCTTGCCTTTACACACAATATTCCTTTGCCTACAATACTCTTTCTGTCTGGTTGATTTCTGCTTGTCTAATTGAATCTAGTGAAGATTCAAGTCAAAGGACCCCCTCCCTGATTACCCAATCTGAGATGAATACCTCTCCCCTGTGCTCTGGCTTCCTGTGTGTTTCCCACTGGTAGCACCTTTTACATAGAGAAAAGTTGTCTGACCTTCATCTTTCTTTTTTTTTTTTTTCTTTTTTCTTTTTCATCTTTCTTTATTACCAGTTTCTAGCTTACCTGTGCTTCATTAAGGTTTGAGAAAAAGAAGGGGCTCTGCAGACTTAATACCAACTCTGCCACTAGCTAGTTGGATGACTTTGAGCAAATCATTTATCCTCTCAATCTCCCATTTCTCCTAAGGAGGGAGGGCCAGGTGATGGCTAGAAATTTGTTTCCACTTCAAAATGACAAGCTTTGGGGAAGAGGAAAAGCAGTAAGATAGTCTTAGCAGAATATGTTATGAAATCAGATGTACCCTCCTTTACTCTCCTTTTTCTCCTTTTAGAGGTTGTTTTCTGCTGAGAAAGTCATTCATACGGACTGTGCTCTCCCCAACCCCAGCTGGAGCAAGGACTTAAAACTCCTTTTTGACCAGTTTATGAAGAAATGTGAAGATGGTTCCTGGGAACGTTTGCCTTCATATCGACATAGATCTACTCAAATTAGTGAAGACTTCAAGACCTATTTCCTTGGTAGGAATGTTACTCTCCCATACAGAATACTTAAATATCAAATATAAAACTAAGAACAGATTGAAGCACTAATTATCACTTGAAAAAGGAAGGAGGAGAGTGCAGGGAGGTTGCTATATTCTCTAGTTTTCTAGGCCAGAAATCTCAATGAATTTTGCAGATTGTGGGAGAGCATAAAGTCTATTGCCATTAATAAGCCTGCCCCCACCATGGCATCATCATCAGCATTAGCAGGAAGGGGCCCCAGAAAGCCTCCACCCTCCCACATTCTCATCACCTTTCTGTCTTGAGGCTGTCATCACTAACCTTCATTTACTATTTGTCCCAGTATGTGGCTCTGACCCCCCAGGAAGCTCAGAACACTCAAGTACCCCCTCATCTCACAGACTCTAAACTCCCATGACAGATCACCCCACCTCCAACATACACATATTGCACTTCCTGTCCTCTGTGTGTGTGTGTTTTAATTAATAGATTTTTTTTTTTAGTAGTAGTTTCAGGTCTATAGTGAAAAGAGTGCAGAGTTCTCAAATATCCCTTACTTCCCTCCGCCAGGTTCCCATTTATTAATATCTTGCCATAGTAAGTATATTTGTTATGATGATGAGACTATATTGGTAACATGAACTTAAGTCCATAGTTTACATCAGGGCTTATTCTTTGAATAATACTTTATGAAGTTTGACAAATGTATAATGATATGTATCATACTGAATAGTTCCACTGCCTTAAAAATTCACTGTGTTCCTTCTGTTCATCTCTCCCTCTTCCCTCCAAACACTTGGCAACCACTGATCTTTTCACTCTCTCCATGATTTTGCCTCTTCCAAAATACATACAGTATGTAACCTTTTCAGATTGTTTTCTTTCACTTAATAATATGCATTTTAAGGTATATTTATTTATTTTTTTCCATAGTACTTATCTCCATAAGACAATGCTTTGTGTTTTTTTAATGGTTTATCCCTCACCACTAGACTGTTTGCTTCATAAGGGCAGAGGTTTTTGTATGTTTTATTCCCCACTATAGCTCCAGTGCTTAGAATAGTACCTGGTACATAGTAAGTGCCTTATACATACTTGTAGGAAGAAGAGAAATAAGAAGGGAAGGAGGAAACACACGCCAGGGAACCTGCTTAAGATGCTGTACTTGGTTTTTTGTTTCTTTTTTTTACCTAAGATCTCTGCCCTTCTGGAGTAATGAGAGACAAACCACTAAATAATGAAAACAAAGTAAGTCAGATGGTAATACATGCTGTGAAAAAAATAGATGCACTTTAATAACAACAAAAGAGATTCCTCATATAGGAATTGGGAGGAACAATGTATGGCCACCTTTTCTACCCATTGCTTTTTTTTTTTTAAAAAAGGAAGTTTATTAGCACATATACCTCATGTACACCTGGGAGATACCCAGGGGAAAGTAGTGAGCAACTCCCCTAGATGGTCTAAGCCACTGGGTTAAATACCATTTCAACTAAAGACGAAAGAAAAGTGTTGGGGATAGGAAGCAGTATGGGGAGATTACAAGGAAAAGATGTAAGTTGTTGCTTTCTCCCTTGAAAAGATTCTCTTGTGACACAGAGTTGTCCTTCTCTTACTGATACAGAGATGGAGATTTCCTTTATATGTAAATTTCTGAGGTTATTGATATTTCTCCCTTGCAAAAAGTTAACCTCAGTTTTGTAATACAAAACAGGTTGGGTGCTTCCCTGGTGGCTCAGTTGGTAAAGAATCTGCCTCCAATGCAGGAAACCTGGGTTTGATCCCTGGGTTGGAAAGATCCCTTGGAGAAGGGAACAACTACATACTCCAGTATTCTGGCCTGGAGAATATCGTGGACCAGTTCAGTTCAGTCCAGTTCAGTTCAGTTCAGTCGATCAGTTGTGTCTAACTCTTTGCGACTTCATTGACTGCAGCACGCCAGGCCTCCCTGTCCATCACCAACTCCCGGAGTTTACCCAAACTCATGTCCATCGAGTCAGTCTGCCATCCAACCATCTCATCCTCTGTCATCTCCTTCTCCTCCTGCCTTCAATCTTTGCCAGCATCAGGGTCTTTTCAAATGAGTTAGCTCTTCTCATCAGGTGACCAAAGTATTGGAGTTTCAGCTTCAACATCAGTCCTTCCAATTCAGGACTGATTTCCTTTAGGATGGACTGGTTGGATCTCCTTGCAGTCCAAGGGACTGTCAAGAGTCTTCTCCAATACCACAGTTGAAAAGCATCAGTTCTTCAGCATTCAGCTTTCTTTATAGTCCATCTCTCGTATCCATACATGACCACTGGAAAAACCATAGGCTTGACTAGATGGACCTTTGTTGGCAAAGTAATGTCTCTACTTTTTAATATATTGTCTAGGTTGGTCATAACTTTCCTTCCAAGGAGTAAGTGTCTTTTAATTTCATGGCTGCAGTCACCTTCTGCAGTGATTTTGGAGCCCCCAAAAATTAAGTGTGCAACTGTTTCCACTGTTTCTCCATCTATTTGCTATGAAGTAATGAGACGAGATGCCATGATCTTTGTTTTCTGAATGTTGAGCTTTAAGCCAACTTTTTAACTCTCCTCTTTCACTTTCATTAAGAGGCTTTTTAGTTCTTCACATTCTGCCATAAGTATGGTGTCATCTGCATATCTGAGGTTATTGATATTTTTCCTGGCAAACTTGATTCCAGCTTGTGCTTCATCCAGCCCAGTATTTTGCATGATGTT